GTCCAAAGGTTATTCTTGATTGGATGGGCACACAGGTGCGTCCATCAACGCAGAGCGTGGAGGGGGGGTGGCGTGGGGGCTGGGCGTGGCAATGAGGTTTAAAGTCACTCGTTCCATAGCTTTCTTGAAGCTCTTATGGGGCGCTGTGCGGCGGTAGAGGCCGCCCATGCATCCTCTGGGTTCATGGGCTTTCAGAGGGCCCCGACTTAGACTTACCCATTTTGACCTCGTTGATCGTAGAGCCATGGTTCTACCAGATCGTTCGTGTATCAATCTCGTGTTCCTCGGATGGTTGCCACCCTCCTCCACTCTCGCCCTCCCTCCTCCCTCCTTTTCTCGCTTGTACTGCTGCGCTGACGAGCACGTATCTGGGGCGCTGTGCAGCGACACTCTACAACAGCGGGTTGCGCTTGTCGGTGCACTCTGGTCGTCTGTTTCAGGGGCGGGACCATGGAGGCGCGCCCGAATCACGAACACGCCTGTTGCTCGGGGCTTGGTCATTTTTCGTGATGCAGCCGCGGAGGCCGCGCCAGAACGAAAGGTCAAGATCAACTATGACAAACATAACAGCAACCTGGAGCAGCTCATATCGGAAAGAAAGACGTTTGCACCGCATTGCACGTCTGAGAGGTCCGCCATCAGCAAGAAAAACAAACGTGGCATTATTCGAATACAGTGACATCGACGACGGCAACGTATAGGATACGTTTTGGTAGAGTTCAAAGGAGTCAAAGTTTTACCACAGATGAAGTCCACCACGCCGCAGCCTTACAGTGGAAGTGTGTGTGACAAATCCGGGACGTGCCACCGGACAGGCGAGCAATCGCAGATACATTTTCAGATTTTTACGACGATTGCTACATTTGCAGATTTTTACTGAGATGAGGGTCGGGAAAGAGTATTGGGCTCTCGAATGAGGGAAGGCACAGGACCAGGTTGGCATCAGAAGCGAAATGCTGAAGGACGGGGCGAAGCTCTGGCCAACTTGAGAATTGTCATGTTCAATTGCATAGTGGACCCAGAAGCGATGCCACCAGAGAGTTGGAGACAGTTTTCAATCACAGAGGTTTGGTCGATGACGGGGACCCGCGCTTGCTATCAAGCAGTAGACCACAAGCCATAATCCCGTTGTTATATAAATTATTCAGCATGCTTCTCTTGAGACGCTTGACATTGATATTAGATGCATCACAATGGTCAGGCAGGATTTCGTGCGAATTTCAGCACAGAGGACCCCCTGTTCGCTCTTACCCTACTTCATGAAAGATGTGATGAATGGGGAAGGCCTTTGTGGATCGCCGCGTTGGGCTTCAAGACATCGCTTGGCAGTCTTTCACACAACAGCATCTGGGCCGCACTGATGCAGCACGGAGCTCCGAAACCACACGAATGGGCACAGGGGCTCCGTCGAAACCACAGGGAGGTCGACGAATTCTGGCCCCTGTCTGGGGCAGCAGGCTCCTATCCTGCCACGTGGTGGCGAGGCGGACTCTTCCGCCTATGTCATTGCACCTTTGCAAATTCCTTGTCCTCCTCGTCCTCCTGGTCCTCCTCCCCCGCCTCCTCCTCCTCCCCGTCGTGTTCCGTCATCATGCTTCCTCCCTCCTTCCCCAAACCCCATCGCTGTCTTTCTCTTCTTCCTGCCCCTTCTCCTCTTCGCCCTCCTACGAAAAGTAAGGCACGGGTAACGCAATTGCGACGGCGCTGTGCCATCCGAGTCGCAGATGTGAAGGTTATTATGAAGAGGCGTTGGCAAGATCACCTTGGGCGGGAGATCTGGGCACAGGATTGTCGGGCAACCTGTGCCAGAATAGGAATCGCCAGTGCTGGGTGGGGGGGGAATTGCCATCATGGGTGCACGCTCATTTGGAATCATTGAGCATTCGTGTACAACGGCGTTTGTTGTTGTTGTTGTTGGTGGTGGTGGTGGTGGAGGTGTTGTTGGTGTTGTTGCTGGTATTGCTGTAGCGCGCCGTGTTGCCCGCAATCCGTCTGGAAGGGTTGGGTAAACAAACCTCAGGACAAACGTACCTTGGAGAGGGCAAGTCGGGCCCCACCTCGGGACGCCCAGCGGCTGCGTCGTCGCGCCCACACCGGCTGGAGCCGCGGTTGCTGCGGCACCTCCTGGGGGGGTACGTCGTCATGGGGGTTATTTTTTGGCAGTCCCAGGATAAGCATGTGGAGCCCGCAGACCACTGAATGAATGGCATATTCTTGCACGCTGTTCTTGCGATCGTGTGATGCTGCTGTTTTTCCAGGGCGCACGGGTGTTTGCGCGGACGGTTTGGTGCTCGCGGGCTGTCCTGGTGCCCACAGGCATAGAGTTGCGCGGGCAGTTTTTAAGTATTGGCACGTCGCGGCTTTGGTAGACTTCCTTATACTGTTGCGCACTCGTGTGTTGATGATGCCCCGTGCACGCTGTGGTGCTGGCAGGGACGTGCTGGTGCGAGTGTGCCATTTTGGTTCTCGCAATACCTTGCGGTTGTTGCTAAATTGTCGCTGTATTGCCAGGATCTGCCTTATTTTGTGCATACCATGTGTGATGTTGCTAATGTCCGCGATCGCATTGGCAGGGTACATTGTGGCGCTTGCGGGCTGATGAGATGCATATCCAGTGTTTTGCTGCGCCTGTCGTGGTGATTGCAGAATTATTGTGTCACTGGCAGGGGCCAGCTCACTTCGCCGTCCATGGTTGCAAGCACTTCTCTCGGGCACGCAGTGGTTATCGCATGACGTTGTCGGGTGCCCTCAAGCGTACAGCGGTGTCCACAGCCCTCCGGTATCACCTGGCTTGGGCATCAACCGCGTGTGATGATACATCATGACTGCGTGCGTGTGGTTGTGGTCTGCTGGAGCCTCCAGTGTGTCGGGGCCGCACACATGCGAAGGTTGCCGCGCCGGTGCTGGCCATGCCCGCGCTTCCGCCCCGCCCTCGCGACCGTTTCCGCTCCCCCCGGCCCCCTCAAGGACGTCACGCGGAGTGATTGATATACCGATCTCTAAGGAGAACCCAGGAGTGGCGTGGAGGAAGGGAAAAAGATTTCCGCTCGACCCCATCTGGTCCTCATCTTGGGCCAATCTTGGTGCCACTTTGGACGCGTTCGCTGGTCGCGTGAGGGACGCCCCCAGGCCCATGAGATAAGGGTTGTGGGATAGGAAAGCCCAACTCAGCCGGGGAGGAAGGCGGGTTGTGTCTCTGAGTCAGCTGCACCTACAGGGGGGATGCGCATCAAGAAACCACATGCTCTTCGTCAGGTTACCCTACCCTGGTTGTTCAGGGTGCTCTGGTTTCCCCCCCCGTGTGTATCCCGTGCTGCTGGGTTGTTTGGAAGGGTTTCGCGTGGCCGCGTCCGCACTGTACAGGCCTGGCGGGATTCCGGTGTTCCTAGGTGGAGGAGCGCGGGGCCGCCCCTGCGTCAAGCTGGGCGCGAGGACGCGCCTTCCGTGGCCGGAAGACCTGCTTCCAGGGTGAGACGAGCAACGGCGAGGTGGACCGCGAGGCCGCCAGGGGGAATCTAGGCCTCCCAGATGGGGTCGGAGTAGGATGGGGTCGGATGATCGCGCCGCGTCGCCGGTGCATCGGCGATTCGGCTAGATGTGCACGCCGACGTCGCCGATGCATCGTAGATGCAGCGCGATCATCCGACCACATCTACCCGGTCTCCATCTAGGAGGCCTCCAGGGAAGGGTTGGCAAAGACCACCAGAGCTTCTCCTGCGTCCGCCAGGTTTCCCATGGGCTTCCAGGGTGCATCCGCTTCCTTCCTTGTGCTTGTGTTTGCAATTCCCCAACCAGTGCTTACACTGAAGGGGTCCTAGCGGAGATTCCCCAATCAGTGCTTGCACTGAAGGGGTCCTCTCGGATATTGACGGATTTGGCGAAAGTTCGGGGCCGATTTCGGTGGGCGGCCGGGTTCCTGGGTTCCCGGTTCCCGTTCACGGGTTCCCAGTTCCGGATTCCCGGCCGATGTTTGTGGTCGGCGGGGTTTCCGGATTCCCGGGTTATTGGTCGTTCTTCTTATCGTTCCGTCTCACCATCGATCTCGTTGCCCATCTCTCTATCGGTCTCATTATCGATCTCACAATAGATCTCACAATCGATCTCACAATAGATCTCACGATAGATCGCACGAGCGATCTCACGATCGATCTCATTATCGATCCCATTGAATCGACTTCATTATCGTCCTCACAATTGAATTTACAATCGTCCTCACTATCGATTCCGCGGCCGATCTCACAATCGATCTCAATATCAATATCCATATCACCAATTTTCAAACCATCCACTGATTGGGACTGTTCTCTTGTGTAATTGAAGGATTTGGCGAAATTTCCGGGCCGGGTTCGGTGGGCGGCCGAGTTCCCATGTTCTTGGATTCGTGGTCGATCTTATCGTTTGGTCTCACTATCGATCTCACTACCCACCTCTTCTATCGATCTCACAATCGATCTCACTGTCGATCTCATTATCGATCTCACAAACGATTTCACTATAGATCGCGCGAGCGAGCTCACGATCGATCTCACTTTCGATCTCATTGAAAGGATTTCACTATCGGTCTCATTATCGTCCTTGCAATCGTTCACACCATCGAGTCCACTATCGATCTCGCTATCGATCTCACAGTCGAACTCAATATCCATATCACTAATTTTCAAACCATCCACTGATTGGGTTTTTTTCTCTGGTGTTATGTTTGTGTGGTGTATGGTCGCCATCTCAGCTCCACGTGTCGTCCCTAGTGAGGGGTTCAGAGCGAGAGAGATAGAGCTTGAAGAACCCTAAGACGCACCGAGCCAGCTCAAGAGGGCTCAAAAGGCCGCCCCCCAAGAGGTCGCAAGAGGTCCCCAAGACGGTCCAAGAGGCCCTCAAGTAGGTCCAGGAGGGCCTCCAGAGAGACCTGGATGGAGTTATTGTCCCGAAGCGATTCAGGAGGCTCCGAGATTGCCAAACAGATCTCGCAACGGTGGAACAATCGAACGAGACGCACCAAAGAGTGCCCCGAGAGGCGCGAAACATATTCAAGCTGGAGTAAGCAGCACGTAACAGTGGCGAGAAACAAGAGTAGCAGCACAACGACAGTCGTTTTGGGGGTACCCCTACATCCGACGTGCCCTTTGCCCATTTCGATTCCCGCTGGCCCCTCCCATGATATGCACCAGATGCATGCGCGGGGAAGCTCGTTGGATGTAGTTTCTTGGCGACCCCTGCGGGCGAACCCCGGCCCAGAGCTGGATGGCCCCTCTCAACTATTGGAGCGCAGACGTGTCATACACATGCAGTGATCTGCATCGTGCCATTCAAAGACTGGGGCCAGCCACCCTCAAAGGCAGTGCAACCCGCCAGTGTCCCTCCTCCTCCCTCGATGAGGTTTCGATCATGGACCCCTTGTAAAGAGCAACCATCCAGCGATTGTGTCGAAGATCCTTGGAAGAAACCGCCGGGAGTTGCTGAAGACCGTCAGAACACCGCTGGATATTGCCGAAGACCGGCCGAAGACGCCGAAAACGGCCCGGGACCGATGGTTAATACGGGGACCATGGTCGAAGGAGTAATTTCCTCCGTTGCCTTTCGCCGGAGGCGCGCGTTGAGGACTCCGAAGACTTCGTTTTCACGCCCTCCTGCATGGTCCTGTGGCCCCACGAGAGCGCCGCTCCCAGTGGCTGGTGGCGCTCCGGCTCCTCGGGGGGGAAGGGGGGAGGGGCTACGAGGAAAAAGGGAGGAGGAGCACAGGACAGTCCTCGGCGCGAGACGCGTCCCTCCTCCTCTGGTCTGTTGCCTTTAACCTCCTCGCCTCGCCGTCCTACGTCACCTCGCAGTAGCTGGGGGGCTGCGATCGAGGGCTTCTGGTGGGTCCGGCGGAGTGAGGCACCACCCAGATTCAGATTCGACCTCGCCATCCCTGAGGGGCTGCGATCTGCGAAGCTGTCGCCACTTTCGAGGGCTGCTGGGGGGGTTCAGCGGACTCAGGCGCCGCCCGGATTCAGTTTCGACCTCGCCACCCCTGGGGGGCTGCGATCTGCGAAGCAGTCGCTACTTTCGAGGGCTGCTGGGGGGTCCAGCGGAGTGATGCACCACACAGACTCCGATTAGACATCCGTCCCTAGGGGGCTGCGATCTGTCGCCACTTTCGAGGGCTGCCGGGGGGTCCAGCGGAGTGAGGCACCACCCAGATTCAGGTTAGACCTCGCCATCCCTTGGGGGCTGCGACCTGCGAAACTGTCGCCACTTTCGAGGCTTGCTGATGGTTCAGCGGAGTGAGGCACCACCCAGACTCAGATTAGACTTCTCCATCCCTGGGGGGCTGCGATCTGCGAAGCTGTCGCCGCTTTCGAGGCTTGCTGGGGGGTCCAGCGAAATGAGGCACCGCCCATCTTCAGGTTAGACCTCGCCTGTCCTGGGGGGCTGTGATCTGCGAAACCCTCGCCACTTTCGAGGGCTGCTTGGGGGGGTTTGTGGAGTCAGGCACCACCCAGACTCAGAGTAGACCTCGCCATCCCTGGGGGACTGCGAAGCTGTCGCCACTTTCGAGGGCTGCCGGGGGGTCCAGCGGAGCGAGGCACCACCCAGATTCAGATTCGACCGATCTGCGAAGCTGTCGCCACTTTCGAGGGCTGCCGGGGATTTCAGCCGAGTGAGGCACCGCCCAGATTCAGATTCGACCTCGCCATCCCTGTTGGGCTGCGATCTGCGAAACTGTCGCCACTTTCGAGGGCTGCTGGGTGGTTCAGCGGAGTGAGGCACCACCCAGACTCAGATTAGACCTCGCCATCCCTTGGGGGCTGTGATCTGCGAAACCCTCGCCACTTTGGAGGGCTGCCGGGGGGTCCCGCGGGGCGCTGTCGCGGGCCGCCCGCAGACCTGGCGGCGCGCCGTCGAGTGTTTTGCTTCCGCACTGAAACGTGCAGCAAGGAAGCAGGGAAACTGGCGGGCGAGCTAGGCCTCGCTCGCTTCGTGCATTAAATTATCCGTTAGTCGGTTTAATCACTTTGTCGAGCGCCGTGGCGTCATGGCGCAGGCGGCGCTGCATCTTGCGCGTACTGCCGACAATAGCAACACACGTTTCGGTCTCCTCCCGTCTCTTTTGTCGTCGTCCTCTGCCCCTTGCCACCTTTCCTCTGCTGCTGCCGCGCTGACGGTTTCGGCCCCCCACGCGTCCTTCTCCTGCCCTTCGTTCCCGCCCCCATGTCCTCCTCAAGCCTGGGCCCTCGCTCCTCGTCCTCATATTGGTGTCCTGCGAGTCGTGCCACGTGAGCGCGCCCCGTGTTGCTTGCACAACATATGACGGCGCCTGCTGCACTGTCATTGTCTTGGCAAGTTTGGACCACCTCTTGACACTTCATGCATGTACGTCGCAGGGTAATTGCCTTTTTCTGTTTTGGGGGCCGTTTTCGGAGTCCAGGACTGAACAGCGGATCCGTGGCGAACCTTTGCACCAGTTGGACCCCGAATTCCGGTGGGTGATTTTGGGTGGATTTGGTTTTGTTTTCCCGGGGTCCCAACCATTTCAGACCCCCACGGCCGCCTCCAAGGACATCCTCAGCGCGGAACATGTGCGACGGTTTGGGTCGACAGCTTCTGGTTATCTCCGAAGAAGGGTTCGAGGCCTCCCAGATGGGGTCCGGCTGGGGTCGGGTGATCGCGCCACATTGCCGATGCAACGGCGATACGTCTCGATGCGGAGCCCGATTTTCGCCACGCCGACGGCGGCGGTGCATCGCCGACGTCGCCGAAACATCGGCGATGCGGCGCGTTGTTCCGACCCCATCTACTCGGACCGTACTCGCAGAAGGGTACCGTTCAAGATCGAGCAGGCCGCGCGGTGTCAGGAGCCAGGGCACGCGTCGTCAAGGCAGGACCCCATTACGGCAGAAGCGGACCGTTGCGCCCTCTCCGACTCCGTCGCTCGGCGCGAGGGGCCGCCCTTTCTGCGCCCCTCCTGGCTGAGAGGACGATCCAACCTCCTGACAGCCGTCCTCACCTCCCTCTTCCTCCTCCTTCCTGGCAGGTCATGTGGCGCATTGATACACGGCCAGATATCATGGATATCGTCAGAACGATTTCCATAGACGGCAAGTTTGCCACCCATCCCATCCGCGAGTTCAAGAGAACATGATGGATTTGCACAGGTTTTCCACGGCCGTACCTGTGCTTGCGGGATCAAGTGCCCATCACGGACATTTTTTCCCCAGTCGCCTCAGGGCGCAGACTTCAGTGCATTAACCGGAACTGTCATGTGTCACGCTATCCCCAGCGAGTGCGTCTCCGTCTGTCTACGTGTTGTAGAGCAGTTAGTTGGCCCTCGGGAGAGGGCAACACATGTCAACAACAGGTAAGGAGGACACACAGTCGAAACTCTGAATGAACAAAAGGCGTACTGTTTTCATTAACCTCACCAGCATCAAAGCTCACCCGTCCTTGCATGCGGGAGGATCTGGTGGAGAGGAACTCGCACATACCATTCTCTAGCGGGTAGTCGTGCGAACATTGCAGTGGCTTTACAACTAGAGCCAGATCGGGAAATGCGCCAACGCATCGACAAACACAGCAGTTTCGTTCGAGCCCAGTGCATCCACGCCATGAAGTTGCTTGGCCATTTCCCCTGTCCCAAGGACCCTTGCGAAACTGCCGACCTGCACCCCACGGCCCCCAACAAGCACCAGGGTCAGGATATTGTGCTAGTTGGAGAGAAGCCGATTACTGGTGGCCTGCCTTGAAAAAGGAGAAAAGCCTTGGACACGTCGGACCCCCCCCCTCATTAACCAACATTTGGCGCGCCTGGAGACCCGCCCCCCCGCCCCTCTGGACAGCGGCCTCTCTAACCAGGGGAGGCGCCAAGGGTGAGGGGGTTCGAACCCGGGGGGGGCTGTGCAACGGAGGTGTTTGGGGGGTCGGGGGGAGGCTTCTTCCTTAGAGAAATTCAGTACGGTCCGATCCTGCTCTTTTTATATCCCTGGTATAGCCACATCAAATTATAATAGCATCTTAGTTGACCTCGGTCCAACTTACCCTAGTTAGGCTCGGTCCAGCTTCACTACCACGATAGCTGCATCAATTTCTGATCGCATCCTAGTGCAGCTCGGTCCAACGCTAGTCGAATCCCAATGAACCTAGATCCCAGTGTCGATCGCACCCTATTCAGGTGCGATCTAACTCTCTTTCCAACCGTCCCAAGTCTTAATGCATTGCTTGAGGCTGGAGATGTACATCATGTTGCAAGCTGGGGAGAGACTCGGCCCATTCAGATTGTGTTCCCATTCGAGGTTGCCATGGCCAGCCTGCGGAGGTGTATCTGGAAACAGTCGCAGATCTGGATCACTGCATTGTTGCACTCGCTTGTAACGACGGCAGCAGCCTGTTTGCATGTGTCCACCGCGTGTCTGATTTCTGTGGGCTCTCCTCCCAAAAGCAATCTGTATAACCAACGCCGTCTAGTGATGCCGCCGCGCCAGAAGACAACATGGAACAGCATGTTGAGAGACATCCTCAGAGCCGTAAGCTCTCAACCTGTACCTCCCATGCCCGCCAGAAACCCCGTGTCCTCGCCGTCATCGGATAGAAACCTACCAGTTGATGCGGCAGGGGCCGCTTTGACGCTCTGCTCAGCTCCACGAGGTGGCGGCTGCCCTTCGACGCCAAGAAGCGTTGGCCCTACTTCGCATGTCTCGCGATAATCGTGGGAGAGTGGGGGCTGGGTCGGGGCCAGGTTCAGACAAACAGCCAGTGTATCTTTAAGCAGGCGTTCTCTCGCTGCGGAGCTCTTGTCCTCTCATGCTGCCCAGCTCAGTCAGTCTGAGCTGTAGTGTTCACTGGCAGCTGGAGCCCTGGTTCGATGGTTGGCAGGGGTAGGGTTTGGATGTCGCCACCTACCCTCGGTATCGGGGGTGGCAGTCGCGCGTTCTGCCGAGGCGCGGAGGTGGACGTGCTGCTGAGGACTTCGGCGGAGGGCAAGTACCGGGCCCTGCTGGAGGCAGTGGGATTCGATAGCCTGCAGGCGCAGTGCGTGGAGGTGTGGGCGGAGGCGGCGGGCCGCCGCGGGGGTGGGCCGCGCGGCAGGGGGTCGGGGATAGCGGATGGGGGGCGGGAGGGCGACGAGGAGGAGGAAGAGGATTCGGAGTGGCTAAGACCTCAGCCCCCAGCCACCTCCCCGGGCACCCAGGTGAGGTGATGAGGTGCTTGCAGTGCTTCAGGGTTGTCTCGGGTAAGACCTCCAACCACTGCCAGTCCCTGCCCCCCACTCTTTCTGCGCACAAGTCGACTTGGGCGAGTGGGGAAGAGACTGATCTTCCTCTGTGAGTTTTTGTGCGCTTTGTGGTGGCATGGACAACCCTGTTCGGTCAAGTCCGACAAGCTGTCCAAACCTTGTTTGAACTCAAGACCTTGTTTGAACCCAAGCTCCTCCGTGGGCGTTTACCTGGCTCGAGCTACCGGCTGGGACAAGTTGTTTCGTTTTTCTCGCTCCCCTCTTTTCCTCTGCCTCCTCTTCCTGTCCCCCTCCGTCCGCCGTCTCCCAGCCTAGTAGGGCCTAATTCGTCGTAGGCGTCTTTCTGCTCATGAAGTGACAAGGCGCCTTGGTAGTGTTCGAGGTCTGCGAGGGGAAGGAAAATCTCCTGCAGGCTGCCCTCGCAGGAGCGTTGGGCAGTGATGTCAAGCCTGCTGCTGGGCTGGGCTCCTGGGCAAACGCACCAGGCCCCCAGTCCCGCAGGGCAGCCTGCAGGAATAGCCACAGCCACAGCACATACATAGGGTGGCAGAGGGTGGGTTGCGGCGCCGCCAGCTCTCCCATCCTGTGGGCAGCGCGGCGCCGCGCGCTCCATGACGGAAAGCCTTCCCGTCCTGCGGGGGCTCTTCCTGTCACAGCGCTGCCTCCCGTCCTGCGGGAAGCTCGGCCTCGCTGCGGAGTGCCTCTCCCGTCCTGCGGGACATTCTCTCTGCTGCGGGGCGTCGCCCCGCTGCTGCGACGTGCTGAACACGGATCGGAGCATCCGCAGCGAGGAGCGCTCTCCACCGCACATCCCAGCCACCAACCAGCCAGCCAGCGAAGAGGAGGAAGACGGAGGCGAGCGGGAGGTGAGGCCGCTCGGGCGCGTGAGCCGCAGCCCCCTGTTGGAGGCACCCAGGCAGAGAGCTGCGCCTGCAACTCAAAGCGCCCGACGTCGCATTCTTTGAGGGCTGCCAAAAGGCTAAGAGGCCAGGAAGCGAAAAGGCACCCATTTGGCACCGGTCACCTTGGGAGATTTTCCTGCCCCCAAAACCGCTGCGCGATTTCGGGGCTATGAAAATCTCCTGCAGGCTGCCCTCGCAGGAGCGTTGGGCAGTGATGTCAAGCCTGCTGCTGGGCTGGGCTCCTGGGCAAACGCACCAGGCCCAATGCACCCAGGGCCCAGCCAAGCAGCTGCCGAGGCAGACCCGCGTCTGAGATAACACCGGGCCCAATGCACAGACAAGGCGTTGCTTGGGAGATGCTTGGGCTGCGCGCGCGCGCGTAGAGAAGACGAGCTGTCTTCTGCGCGCACTCAGGTTGGTGCACGCCCGCGAGCCACATCGCTGTGCGGCCGGCTTCGGCTCCGCTTGACCGTTTGCGCGGCCTCGCGCATCGCCTCCGCGCGCTTCCGCCGCGCCCGCGCCTGTCTGCGCGCGCTTCCGTCTGCCTGAACGCGTAGGCGCTGGCGCTATCATTTATGCTACTACGCGCCTTTGCGTGCCCCTGTGCGCCTGCTTGGCATGCGTGAGTGTGCGCACTTCTGCATACTTCGGCGCGCTATTGCGCGCTATTCCGCGCGTCTGTGCGCTCCTTACGTTTCTGCGCGCGTCTCCGCGCTTTTGCGCCTGCCTGCGCGCTCTGAGTGTATCAGCGTGCTTCTTTTACTCTTCTGCGCGTCTGTGTTTGCTTCTGCGCGCATGTGCGCTTTTGCGTGCTTCCCGCGTTCTGCGCGCCTGTCCGTGCTTCTGCGCGCCACCGCGCGTTCCAGCGCGCTCCATCGCGCTTTTGCGCGCCTCTGCGTACGCTTTCTGCGCGCCTGTGCATGTCTGCGCGCCGCAGCATACCTGTGCGTGCTTCCGCGCGTCTGCGCGCGCTCCTGCGCGCCTGCGCCCGCCTGCTTCCGCGTCCTCGGGCGCCCCTGTGCAATCGCGCATGCCTGCGCGCGCTTCCGCGCGCTGGTGCGCGTCAGCACGCTCGAATGCGTTTATGCTAGCCTCCGCGCGCTGTTGCGCGCCTGTGCGCGTGGTCGCGCTTCTGCGCGCTTGCGCGCGTTTCTGCGCCTCTGAGCGTTCTTGCGCACTTACGCCTGCGCGCCCTTCCGCGCGTGAGTGTTCAAGCGCCCTTGTGCGCTTCTGCACGTCTTGGCGTGCGAATCTGCGCGCCTGTGCGGGTTTACGCGCCCCTGTGTGCTCGCGCCTGCTTCTGCGCGCCACAGCGCGCGCCCGCTGCATGCCACGCTTCTGCGCCTCAGTATGCGTTTCGCGCGACCGCGGGCGTTTTAGCGCGGCCGTCCGCAACTCTGCTCGCGCTTTCGCGCGCCTGCGTACACGTTCGTCCGCCCGCGCCCCCGCGACACCTGCGCGGGCTTTTGCGCGCCTCTGCGCGTTCCTGCGCGCGTGCGCGTTCTATCTGCGCAGCTGTGTGTTTCTGCGCGCCTATGCAGGTTTGTGCGATTCTGCGCGTTTACATAGCGCTTCCGCGCCTGGGCGTGTGTTTCGCGCGCCCGCGGGCGTTTTAGCGCATCTCACGGCAACTCTGCGCACTCCTGCGCGCGCTACGCGCTTGCGGCATCGTCGCGGGACTTTACGCGTCTCTGCGCGTTTTTGCGAGCCTGCAAATGCTTTTTGCCCAGTTGGGCGCGTCTGCGCGCCTCTGCGTGCGCTTCAGCGCGCCTCTGCACGATCGCGCGCCTCTGGGACTCCTGTGCACGCTAAACCGTCTTTGAGCGCGCGCCTGTGCGCGCTTTCACGCGCTTCTGCGTCTCCACACGCCTTTGCGCGTTCCAACGCGTCCTGCGCGTCTGCGCGTGTTTCTGCGCGCTTGCGCGTGCCTGCTCACCTCTGCGTGCGTGCGCGTTTACGCAGCCCTGCCCGCGTGCGCGCCTGTGCCCGCGCGCGTCTGCACGTTAGCGCGCGCGTCTACATGTCCGAGCGCGCCTCTGCGCACTTTTGCGCGTCTCTGCGCGCTTTTGCACCCTCGTGCGCGCCCTCCGCGCAGTTGCGCGTCTGTGTGCCCGTGTGCGCATGCGCCTGAACCTGCGCGCGCTTCACCGTGCGCACGCCTAAGTGCGCTTCCGCGTTTCTTCACGCCTCTGCGCGCCTCCACGTGCGCTTGCGCGTGCCTGCGCAAGCACGTGTTCACGCGCTGAGTGCCGCCGCGCGCCGTCCCCCACTGCTGAATTGCACCCGGATCTCCCGTCTGGGCGCGTGAGCACAACATTGCGCTCGGATGGCCCGTCTGGGCGCGCGAGCGCGGGATTGCGCTCGGACGGCCCGCCTGGGCGGCGAGCGCGGAATTGCGCCGAATCGCCCGTCTGGGCGCGCGAGCGCGAAATTGCGCTCAAATGGCCCGCCTGGGCGCGCGCGCGCGTAATTGCGCCCGGATCGCCCGTCTGGGCGCGTGAACACAGAATTGCGCTCAAACGGCCCGTCTGGGCGCGCGAGCGCGGAATTGCGCTCAGATGGCCCGCTTGGGCGCGCCAGCGCGGAATCGCGCCCGGATCGCCGTCTGGGCGCGCGAGCGCCTGGGCGCGCGAGCGCGGATTTGCGCCCGGATTGCCCGCCTGGGCGTGCGAGCACGTAATTGCGCTCGAACGGCCTGCCTGGGCGCATGAGCGCGGAATTGCGCTCGGATGGCCCGCCTGGGCACGCGAGCGCGAAATTGCGCCCAGATCGCCCGTCTGGGCGTGCGCGCGCTGCACGAATGGCCCCCCTGTGCGCGCGAGCGCGGAATTGCGCCCGGATCGCCCGCCTGGGCGCGCGAGCGCGGAAGTGCGCTCAGATGGCCCGCCTGGGCGCGCGAGCGCGGAATTGCGCCCAGATCGCCCGTCTGGGCGCTTGAGCACAGCATTGCGCTCGGATGGGCTGTTTGGGTGCGCCAGCGCGGAATTGCGCTCGATTGGCCGGCCCGCCTGATCGCGCGAGCTCCCGCTCGGAGGGCCCGCCTGGGCGCGCGAGCGCGGAATTGCGCCCGGATCGCCCGTCTGGGCGCGAGCGGAAAAAATGCGCTCGGATGGCGCGCCTGGGCGCGCAAGCGCGGAATTGCGCCCAGATCGCCCGTCTGGGCGCGTGCGCACAGAATGGCAGCCGAATGGCCCGTCTAGGCGCGCGAGCGCGGAATTGCGTTCGGATAGCTCGTCTGGGCGCGCGAGCGCGGAATTGCGCTCAAATGGCCCACCTGGGCGCGCAAGCGCGAAATTTTTCCCAGATCGCCGTCTGGGCGTGCGAGCGCCTGGGCGCGCGAGCGCGGATTTGCGCCCGGATTGCCCGCCTGGGCGTGCGAGCACATAATTGCGCTCGAACGGCCCGCCTGGGCGCATGAGCGCGGAATTGCGCTCGGATGGCCCGCCTGGGCACGCGAGCGCGAAATGGCGCCCAGACCGCCCGTCTGGGCGCCCAGATGGCCCGTCTGGGCGCGTGAGCACAGAATTGTAGCCAAATGGCTCGTCTGGGCGCGCGAGCGCGGAACGCACGCGGTTCGCCCGCAACCGCGCGAGATTGCCTCTTCCTGGGTGCAAGGGCGAGATCGCACCCGGACAGGGGGCCCTGCACGCCCAGATTACCTTACCGGGCGCTGCGACGAGCGGCAGTCGCCAGCAAGGGCGCGAGCCAGGGCATGGCAGCAAGGCCAAAAACTCCTTCACGACGAGGAGCGGGCGCGAGACGGTGAACGCATGGCGACAAGGAGCGGGGGCGGACGTGGCGACGAGGAGCGCGGGCTTGCGACGAGGAGCGCGCCGGCGAGCAAAAGCGGACGGCAGGGAGGCTGAGACCAACTGCATGGCGCCGGCCACCACGGCAGCAAGGTCAGGGGCCCGCCGACGAATGGCACTGGCCAGCACGGACACGGGCCGGGGTGTGGCAGCGCAAGCCCAAGGACCCACTGAGGCGGTGGCCCCCGTTGCGCGGGTCCCACTTGGGAACCTTCTGCTGGCTGGCCCGCTTGGCCAATCACCGGCAGGGAGCCGAAACATCCCTTGGGGCCCAGCTGCGCACCGTTCCCACTTGGGAAACCTTCTGCTGGCTGGTCCGCTTGGCTAGCCACCGGCAGGAAGCGAAACACCTCTGGGGGCCCACCTGGAGCAACCTCGGGTGTGCCCTGCTGGGAGAATGGCGACGAGGAGCGCCGGCGACCTGGTGGGTATGCCTTATCCAGGCAAGGACCCGCTCCTTATCCAGGAGCTGTGCAGAGCAGCCTGCCGCACGGCTGTTGCTCCATTCCCACCTGGGAAGCTTCTACCGGCTGGTGCGCTTGGCCAGCCGCCGGCACGAACCGAAACGCTACTGGGGGCTCACTTGGAGCACCCACGGGTGTGCCCGGCTGGGAGAATCGCGACGAGGAGCGCCGGCGACTTGGTGGGTATGCCTTATCCAGGCAGGGACCCGCTCCTTATCCAGGACCTTTGCAGAGCAGCCTGCCGCGCGGCTGATGAACCATTCCCACTTGGGAACCTTCTGCCGGCTGGTGCGCTTGGCCAGCCACCGGCAGGAACGGAAAGGGCATTGGGGCCCACTTGGAGCACCCTCGGGCTTGCCCTGTTGGGAGAATGGCGACGAGGAGCGCCGGCGACCCGTGGGTATGCCTTATCCAGGCAGGGACCCGCTCCTTATCCAGGAGCTGTGCAGAGCAGCCTGCCGTCGGAGCATCCGCAGCGAGGAGCGCTCTCCACCGCGCATCCCAGCCACCAACCAGCCAGCCAGCGAAGAGGAGGAAGACGGAGGCGAGCGGGAGGTGAGGCCGCTCGGGCGCGTGAGCCGCAGCCCCCTGTTGGAGGCACCCAGGCAGAGAGCTGCGCCTGCAACTCAAAGCGCCCGACGTCGCATTCTTTGAGGGCTGCCAAAAGGCTAAGAGGCCAGGAAGCGAAAAGGCACCCATTTGGCACCGGTCACCTTGGGAGATTTTCCTGCCCCCAAAACCGCTGCGCGATTTCGGGGCTATGAAAAGGACGAGGGAGGGTGAAGGACGTCTGGGGTCTGAGGTAGCCCAGCACTGGTTCCGGGGAGCAGGAAGAGGCAGAGAGGGCAAGGTTCCAGGTGCTGGGATCGGCACGGATTTTGTAATTTGTCTACCCCTGGGGGCGGTTTGCGGGCTCCGGGACCGTCCAAAACTGCACCAGATGGAATTCGGGAGAGGTCCAGGGACCGGCCTCATCCCCCATCCTGGCCGATTTTCTATTATCCCAACCAGATCAGAGTCCCCGGCCGCCTCCAAAAGGGAGAGCAAGGAAAGGAGAAGATTGGGAATCAGAGGGATCAGGGAGCTGGATGAGGAGTGGGAGCAGGATGGCGACGACGGGCCCTGCCCCCTCTCTCACGCCCGAGTCTCCTCCTTTTCCTTTTTGGGAAATCGAGCTTGGGAGGAAGGGAGGGAGAGAGGGAGGGAGTGCAGGATGACGAGTACGAGGAGGAGGAGGAGGTGGAGGAGGAGGAGGACCAGTGCAAACCCAAGATTCATCAACGATGTTGGAATAACCCCTCCCCCAAGCTCCCTCTTCTTTTAGCCCCTGCAAGGGTTCATTTCCACTGGGGAAAGAAAATACGCCGTTGGGAGACGACCGTTTGAAAATCCTGAAGCGTGCCAAAACACTATCCTCGGATTTGTATTCCGACTAGTCAACCTGATTGCTGCGTCCTGGCCATCTTGAATCTTGCCAGACACCCATCCTTGGGACTTCGACACCGCGAATTGCGCCATCACAATCGTGAAGCGCTCCGTAACACCTTTTCTGGTACGTCACCCATGGGAACGCGTGACACGTGTGCTTTAAGACGAGTTTGCCCGGCGCGAAGGCGATAACCACAACTTGAAAAGGAGTCGCCCTCAATCCGTGAAGCTCTTTCAATCATTCAGGACAAGTGTGCGTTGTGCTAAAGCGAGAACCACATTTTGAAATAGACCGCCTTCAATCCGTGAAATTAATGCTACTTTTTCGACGTATGTGCGCGGCGTTCAGGCGAGAACAACATTTTGAACACTATCCTCCCTCCATGTGCACTGTTGCCAGAATTTAAGCTTCAGGGGTAAGGATGGTAAGGAAGTCTCAGGCGAAACGCCTGGGCCGCACTCCTGTCTGGTTTCGGGGGTGCGACACTGTCAGGGAGGAATCATTTGTAAGAAAAAGGAATGGACGAAAACGAGCGGTCAGATGTGAAGAGGAGCATTTGTGGCAGGACGACGAGGAGGAACAATTGGAGAAGGAGGATGGATTGGGAGCGAGGCAGAGGAGTATGAGGAGGAGGAGGAGGACGAGGAGGAGGAGGAAGAGGAGGAGGAGGAGGGTGGGGAACGTGGTACGGTGACACGGCGGACGAGACAAGAACATCTCGCATCTGGACACGAAACCGTCGGATTTTGGTGTGTTGATTTTGTCCGCGTTCTCCTTGCCCGTTACTTCCTGCTCAGTTGTTCCCTCCGTTGGGGCAGGTGAAGGAAGAAGATGGGGAGAATGGGGAATGAGGAGCAGAAGCATTTGGGAAACTGAGGAAGACGAGTAACAATCAGATACTGACGATGGAGAAGAGGAAGAGGGGAAGCACGAGGGAGAGGAAGGGGATCCTGAGATGCGGCGGCGGAGGACGTGGAGGACAGTGGAGGAGGATGAGAAGGTGGCGATGCGGATGGAGGCGCAGTGGATTGATGAGCAGGGGTAGGAGACAGGGAGCATTGATTGGAGGATGGGGATCTGGAGCTCTCCGCCCCGCACTGTAAGTATTGGGATGCTTGTATAGTGCCACTCCTTTCTCTCTCTCTCTCACTCTCTTTGTCTGGTGGAGGCTTCGTTGGCGTTGCGGGCGTTTGGTGTGTTCGTGGGCTCCGGGTGTGACTGCGGACGCTCTTCCTGGCGTGGTCGGGAATCATCGTGCGCCGACCCAAGCCTGGCTTCTGTTGGCGACGGTGCGTGGTCAGTCTGGCGGTGTCGCGCCGCAAGGTCCAGCTGCCCAGCGTCCGCGTCTCCACGCAGCACGTACATTTTCCGAAGTCGTACTTGAACGTGGCAACGTCCGCCCAGCCCCCGGGAGCCCTCTCTTCGCGCGTCGCCGCCGTTGATGATGAGAACGACGACGGGGACGACGATGAGGGCGACTACGACGTGGCCGAGGGCGACCAGGACGATGTGGTCGTTGATGGTCACGACGACGAGGGGCTGCCGTCGGCGTCGTAGTCGTCAATGTCCTCGTCGTCCTGGTCGTTCTCGCACTCCTCGAGGGCGAGAGCGACGTGGATAACGAGGACGGCGCCGTCATCGCGAATCCTTTGGCGTCCTCCCTCCTCTCTTCCTCGTGCCTTTCTCTGCTCGAATGTGTTCCCGAGGTCTTGCCGTGACGTTGCGACGTGCGCGGCCTCAGATTTCTGCATGCTTATTATTGCATGTGTTTTTGGTAGCAAACCATGGGAGCATGGTATACCATCATAAATTTGTCGCTAGAGTGCACTAGCGTCGGGCGGAATCGGGTAAAGGATAATTTAGCGCCGAAGTTGTGTCGACTAGAGTCGACGTTGCGTCGATTCGCGTCGATCTAGCGTCGACTGGCATCGATTAGCGCCGTTTTGCAGGAGCCAACACGATGATATGGGAGACTCCGCTTGTGGCGACCGAAACGTGCGTGTGCCCCTGCTGTCCTAGTTCGCAGGTTTCTCTGAAGAGACGGCGAGCGAACGCAGGCATCGCTTCCTCATCACCCTCCCGCTTCTCAGAGCTCTGCAGGAGGCACTGCGTATGCGCGGGCCCTCCACATTTCTCACGATCTGCCGCATTCCAACGTCTCATCGAGTGCGAACGAGCGCAGATCTGATGCGCATCCTCGTCTTCTCTCCCCCTCCACCTACCCCTCATCGTCATGGGTCCTCCTCTGTCTCGTTCTTCCCCCTCTCCGTGTATCCTCACCTTCCGCCCGAACCTCCTCTGCCCCCTCCCCCGAACTCCTTCTCGTTCCTGCTGTTCCTGCAGCAGACAGAGCAGGAGCTTCCCTCTCGCTCATCAATATCGCTACTTCCGTTCGCTCCTCCTTTTATCAAACCATCCTGTCGAGTTGTGTCCCGCGTCACCTCCTCTCCTTCTCCTCTCCTCTCCTCCTCCTCCTCCTCCTCATCCTCCTCATCCTCCTCTTCCTCTTCCTCCTCATCTGCCTCCCCTTCCTGCCATCCTTGCCTCTGCCCTCCGCATGTCCTCATCGTCGTCACCTCCCATCCCTTGTACCATTCATACGTTTCGTAGCCCCGCAGGGAGCTCCACCGAAGGCCCCACTCCCGTGCCAAAGGGTTCGCATGCGGTTCCACTCCCGTGCCGGCATGCTTTTATCACCCTAGCACGTTTCGTGGCCCCATAGCGAGCTCCGCCAAAGGCCCCAGTGGCAGGATTCGCATGCGGTTCCACCCCCAATTTCTGGCATACCCCTCACTCGTTTCGTGGCCCCATAGGGAGCTCCACCGACGGCGCCAGTGGCAGGGTTCGCATGCGGTTCCACCCCCAATGTCGGCATACACCTCACACGTTTCGTGGCCGCATATGGAGCTCCGCCGAAGGCCCCAGTGGCAGGGTTCGCATGCGGTTCCACCCCCAAGTTCTGCATACTCCTCACACACTTCGTAGCCGAACAGGGACCACCGACGGCCCCAGTGGCAGGGTTCGCATACGGTTTCACCCCCAATGCTGGCATACCCCTCACACGTTTCGTCGCCCCGTAGGCAGCTCCACCGCAGGCCCCAGCGGCAGGATTCGGATGCGGTTCCACCCCTAGTTTCGGCATACCCTTCACACGTTTCGTGGCCCCACGGTGCGCTCCACCGACCGTCCAAGTGAAAGGGTTCGCATGCGGTTCCACTCCCGTGCCGGCATACTTTTATCACCCTAACACGTTTCGTGGCCCCATAGGGAGCTCCGCCGAAGGCCCCAGTGGCAGGGTCCGCATGCGGTTCCACCCCCCAACGTCGACATATCTTTCACACGTTTCGTGGCCCCGTCGGCAGCTTCACCGAAGGCGCCAGTGGCAGGGTTCGCATGCGGTTCTACCCCCATTCCGGCATATCTTTCACACGTTTCGTGGCCCGAAGACGATATTCACACTCTCTCTGGCTGCGGCTGCCTGTCACGTGACATCTCGGGAGTTCTTGCGCACCTCCTTCTGTCCTCGTTCTCAATGCTATTACCCTTCGTGCCCCTCCTCCTACCTACTCGTCGGCCGGTGCCTTGGCGCATGGCGATCAAGCGTGAAGCCTCTGCGGCCAGGCGATCTGAGGTGGCCCGTACGGGCTGCCGTGCGGTGTTGTCTGACTCCAATGTTGTGTGTGGTGTCTCGCGTGTCCTGCGCATGCTCATCGGAGCTTCGCGCATGCCTGCCTCACTAATTGTGGGTTTGCCACCTGTTTCGGATCACTGCGGCGTGTCCAGGATGGGAAGAGATGAGAGTGGGATGGGGAATGGATGACTGCGGCTCTCTCTCTTTCTCTCTCTCTCTCTCTCTCTCTCTCTCTCTATACACATACAAGACTGCAGTGGCGCTTCGCGCCATGCACCTTGGTCCTTGAAGTTTGGTATGCAGGCGGAATGGCAGGAAGGTCAAGCCGACAATTTAGCGATAACTCCTGGTTGCCTTTTCCGGCATCGCCGCTATAATGATGTTATTCGTTATCTTTCCTCCATGCTTATTGTTCCTTATTTTTGCCATACGCTGCGCATTCTCCCCATCCTCCTCAGCTCTTTTTTGCGGAGGCTCCTCCTTGGAGAGCCTGGGGGGCTCACAAAAGTTGTTTCGGCTTTTCTTAAGGCCTTCTGGAGGCCTCCTGGGCGCATTCTGGGGGCCTCCGGGGGCTTCCTCGGGCCACCCTGCCTCCAACCGCCGTCTCCCTGATGAACGGCCGGATCACGATTTGGAATTCTTCGGAGGGTGTCTTCGGGCCATCTTGGGCCGCCATGGGGCTCTCTGAGGGCCATCTTGGACCCGTGTTGTGCCGTTTTGGGGCTCTCTTGGGCTGCCTGGAAGCCCTTTCGGATGGTTGTGGGGCGATTTGGGAGCCTCCCAGGCGGCTTCGGACGCCCAGAAGACCGCCGTCTTGGAGCGTCGGGAAGCCGAAAAGAGGAGAACCCCAACATTCACCAAAACGCACAGAAAATCTCTGATTTTTGCCTCGGGGGGCCTTCTTGGGAGTGCTCTTGGAGGCCTCTTCGGGGCCGTCCTGGAGGCCTCTTGGGCCATCTTGAGGTCACGTCGGTCACTCTTGGAGTGCTCTTGTGCTGTCTTGGGGGTCTCTGGGACGTCTCCGATGACCCCCTGATCGCCCTAAGTGTGCTGGGAAGGCTTGGCAAAACGCCTTGCGAGGCCCCGTGGCCGCTTCGAGGCCCGTCCGGAGGGCCCCAAAGCCCCAGGTCCCGGGAGTCCGGTTTTGGGGGGGGGGGGGTGATGGGTTTTCCCCCCGCCTGGGCTTATAAAAGTATAGGAAGAGGAATATTTGTTACAGGACAGGCCATCGCATTCCCCCTCTCAGTGCATGCATGAATGCCTCTCATGTGGTATGCAGTTCATGGTCACGTGTTACCTGCAGCTTTGCTCGCAGTAGATGACCCCGGCACGCTCAGCACGCCGCTTGTCATGGGTTGCGAGGAGTTCTTTCGCAGCAGCTCGCCCCGACCAGCGCCGACTGGGCGCCTGCCGTGTGCTCTCGTGAATTCTGCTCGCCGCGGCTGGTGCAGACGGGCCAGTTTACGTGTGATCTCAGATATGTTTTCGCCGCGATTGGCTCCGACCAGTCCCGCTGCGCTTTAGCAGCATCTTGCAGTTGCACGGACAGACTACGCGCCATGGTTCAATGCTTTTGCATAAGATTGATGCAGAAATCACCGTATTGGGTCTCCGCCCTGATCGTGGCGGGCTTATGTACTATGGGTGACGCAGCGTTGAGGACTGAACGGGCCAGTGCGAACCATGCGCAGGAAACGCGTCCTAAGCAGCAGACCGTTTGCTTATGTTTGTCCATATCTGAGTTCAATATCACGCAAATTGATGATGTGTCAGCTATTTGATACACCGTTGAATTGAGCCCGCCAGCTGCTTCGTGGCCTTCTCTTCTCTGCTTCTTCGTAATAGTGCGAGCCCCCCCGCTCCTGCATGCTCTGCATCTCCGATTGCTCTTGGCTAACCGTCCGCGGTGGGACAGCATTCGCTCTTCCAGCCGAGGTCTGCCTACCAACTGGAGCTGACAAACATGTCCGACCTGCCAGCGAACTTTCGCTGGGAGGTGCCTGATGTTGCGATTGGTTCTGCGATGTGAGAACAAGAGACATCAATGAACACTACTGTTTATTGGCGCAGTGATGTGTTCTGGAGGTTGTGCAGATCTAATGAATATGTTGGAAAGGAGGAAGGTGAAGAGGGGGAAAGGGATGACAGGTGCACGATGAGGGAAGGGAGCTCGTGTATGTCGTTGAGGCGAGCTCTTCTGGGGGAAGGGGTTCTTGCGAGGAACCACGCTGGGTGTCAACGTGGGTTCTCGTCATCCTCCGGAGCGAGGGTAGACTTCTCATTCGAGCGCCGAGCCACCCACCAGCCGTCACGAGACGCGGCAGGAGCAGCTGCGAAGGCCCAGTCCGTGGGTCGGGCCTGCCAGTGGCGAGCCGCGCCCTGCCAAACGGCAAGCAGCACTCCTCGGCCCTCCTCCTCGAAGCCGCCCGCCCTGGCCCGAGGCTGCCAGCTGCACTCGCCTCGCTTCGCTGGCCACCTCCAGACGGGAGCCTCCTGCCCGATAACGTGGCATCGTCGCGCTCCAAGGCAGCGCGACGGTCGCGACGCGCAGGCCGGGGGCGACAGTTGCGGGCTGCATCCGTGTCCTGGGGCTGGACACTCCGTCGTGCAGTCTGGCCTGCCTACCGCGGGAGGGGCCAACGACATCGATCTTCCCTTCCTCTCCGCTCATCGGCTCTTCGGGTGCAACTCCTGGGAGGTTGAAGTCACAATCGGCGCCTGTATATCCGAGCTCGAAACCGGCCTGATCCAGCATAATCCTACCTAATCCCGTCTAATTCCGCTCAATCCAGCTTAATCGGGCTTGATCCCGTGCCTAGTCCGGCCGAGCCTGGCCACAATGGCCTCTTCATCTGGCTGGTCATCATGACGGAGACCTCTCAGGAGTTGTTTTCAAATATTATTCCCTTCTGAAGCAGCAGCCGCGGGCGAAACAGGGGAGCTGGGGCTGCCCGCCCGACGGATGGCCGCCCTGGAGGTGCCGATGACATTCGGCTCCGGGCTGGAGGTGCAGATCGGGCCGACCCAGGGCACCGTGCCGCCCAGGAGGGGCGGAGGGGGGGGGACTCATCGTGCGGAGGGAAGGAGGGAAGGAGGGGAGGGGCGCAGGGAGGAAGGGGAGGAGGGGCGGTGGGGGGAGGGAAGGCTCGGCTGCTCTGCCGGGGCTTTTCACACTTGACTCCGACCCTGAGTGGCCACGAGGCTGCTCTTGGGCGGTTTCTTCTGTCTCTTGGGGAGCTGAGGCCTGTCGGAAGCCTCTGTGGGGGTCCTTGGTGTTCTCGGAGGCAGTTTTGGGGCCGTTTTGGGTACCACATAGAATGCACCGCATCGATTGGACCGCATAGATTGCATTACATAGGTTGCATCCTCTTGGGCCGTCTTGGGGCCCTCTTGGGCCGTCGTGGGGGCCTCTTGAGTGCCTCTTCCTTGAAAACATCTTGGGATGTCTTGGGGGCTGTTTCGGCGTCTCTGTGGGCCTTTCCGGGGTCTCTTGGGGGCCTCTGTGTGGGTCCTTGGTGTTTCTCGGAGCCGTTTTGGGGTCCCTTTGGGCCGTTTTGGGCGCCTCTTGGGCTGTCTTCGGGCCCTCTTGGGCCGTCGTGGGGGCCTCTTGAGTGCCTCTTGGGCCGTCTTGGGGCAATCTGGGGGGCGTCTTGGGCCGTCTTGGAGCGTCGGGAAGGCGAGAAGTTGTTGATCCACGGTTGACAAAGGGATTTGGCGATTTTTGTCTCTTGGGACTCCCTTGGGAGGCCTCTTGGGGTGTCTTGGGGCGAGAAGGGGGCCTCTGGGACTGCTTTGGGGCCGTTGGCGTCTTGCAGCTCTCTTCTTGTCCTAGCTTGGGGCCCTCTGGACGCCATCAGGAGCCGTCTTGAGCGCTCCAGGCGCGCTCGGGACCTGGCGGCCCCCAGCGGGACGCCGGTCTAGCCGGAGCAGTATTCTATGCATATAGGTACTCATCGTATTAGCAAAGCTACATGTAACGGGGAACCAGACCTGGGGACCCCGGGGCCGCGACCCCGACCGCAACTGGGTGTGCCGTGGGCCCCAGGGGGGCTCCCTGGGCGCCTGGGGCCCTCTAAGATCGCCCGAAGACGGCCGAAGTCGCCCTTCCGGACTGCCAAAACGACCAATGACGGTAGAGATGACCCCAATTAGCCCCAGACTGTTCAAGAGGCCTCTCAGACGCCCCAAGAAGCAAGAAGCCTCCGAGAGGCCTCCCAAGAGCGCCTGAAGAGGCAACAATCGCAGATTTTCAGTAGGTTTTTGAAGGATTTTCGAGCTCTCGCCTTTTCAGTTTCCCGACGCTCCACAACGGCCCGAGAGGCCCCCAATGTCCGCTCCAACACAGCCCAAGAGGCCTCCAAGAGGGCCCCAAGACGGCCCAAGAGGGCCCCGAAACGACGCCTGAGGCGTCCAAGACGGCCCAAGAGCGTTCCAAGACGGCCCCAATAAGGACACAGGAGGGGTAACCCGAACCGACAATCCGAGCTTCCACCTCGAAAGGCTCCCTGGAGGGCCCAAGAGGCCCCCAAGAGGGTTCCCAAGAGCGCCTGAAGAGGCAACAATCGGTGATTATCCTTATAGATTTTTGAAGGCTTTTCGAGTTTTCGCCTTTTCAGTTTCCCGACGCTCCAAGACGGCCCCAGAGGCCCACAATACCGCTCGAAGACAGATGAATAAGCCTCCAAGAGAGCCCCAAGACGGCCCAAGAAGGCACGACAGTTCCTGTGACGCCCAAGACGGCATGAGAGGGCCCCATGACGGCTCCAAGACAGGCCCAAGAAGAGGAACGCGAACCCAGAAGTGTCCGGAGGGTCGTAGTTCTTGAGACGCCCAAGACTTCCTGAGAGGGCCCCAAGACGGCTCCAAGGCAGGCCCAAGAAGGGGAACGCGTACCCAGAAGTGCCCGGAGCCTGGAGACGCCTCCCGAGACGCTCAAGACAGCCCCAGAGGGCCCCAGGAGACCTAGAACGCCTCCGACAAGCCAAAACCCTTCCAAAACTAAGGGGAAATCAGTGACTTTCGCCTTCTCGCCTTGTCGCCTCCGATGGGCTGCTGAAACCTCACGATCGCTCCCAAGAGGCCCCCAGGAGGCTCCAAGACGCCCCACAACGCCCCTCAGACGCTCGAAGAGCCCCAAGACGCCCCAAGAAACCCACCCTTACATCTTGAGTGTGGCTCTTGACGTTGAATGTGTGCGTGCGCATCTGCACGCAACTGCGAGACTGTCACGGGCTGGAGCTGGCTAGAACCTAAGCGCGCGCGAAGCGCGCACGTGGTTCTAATAGATGTATTTGTGATTATATATATGTATGTAAATATGTAAACGTATGTGCAGATATGTATATAGGCATCGTGCAACACATAAATGCATCACGGCGATGGCGGCGGAACCGTTGCGCACAGCATGTGTTGCACAACGTAGGTTGCACAAGATAGTTTGCACAAATACTGCACCACCAAGAGTGCATAGCATGTACTGTACAACATATACTGCTAGAAACATTATGTTTGTGGTCCGCCCTGGCTAACATAACCCATAGCATGACCCGATCAACAAGGTTCGGCGTGCCCACGCCAGCGCCTGTCATGACAGGGCGATTATTCCACCTTCAAATTTGACGTGCCAGAGGTGCTTGCGCTTTACCGTGAGCGGTTCCTGCGCCGTCGAGGTCGAATGCCCGCAGCGCTTGCGCTAACAGCGCGATTGCGAAGAGATGCTGGCGGCCTCTCATTTGACGCACCCGCGGTGCCTTCGCCTGTCCGCGCGCAGCGCCCGCGTGGATAAATCGACTGCCCCCGCGGCGCCTGCGTTGACAACTCGATGGCGAGGCGAACGAACCCTGCCCCGTCGAGTTGGTCATCGAGGCGAATACATGGTCTATAATATGGACGTTGCTATTGGTTAGTTCGTGGGTGCACATGAGAAGCGCTCCTTTCGATGGAAACCCTCCGTTGGGGTTCATCTTGGGAGGGCGGCCGTTGGCATCCCGACCCCGCGATTTGACCACCGCGCAAGCGGGGCCACATCTGGCGTATGAAAAACGCACCGGTTTGAATTGCTAGGGGATTATTCGATCCGTTCGGGACTTCATTGGCGAGTCTTGTGTTTAATCTGAGCCGGGCGGATGGGTAGGTTCACACACATTGTACCGCGCTAAACCTAAGGGCTAGCATTACGAATCGGCAGGGGCATGGGCCAGAGGACCGTCGACAGTGGCACTATATAGTTGCAACACATCGCATTTACCACCTGGCTTACTTCACGCTGCACGGCGCTGGGAGCTACGGAAAGAATTCCGGCGAAGACGGCGACCGGGGCATGGAGCAGCATTTTAGTACGCCGGCACGTTGAGGTTCATCGAGCGATGGGTTAAGCGCATTGTTACACTTACAAGTTCGGGCGGGATGTTGAAACATTTCTTCAAGAGCGCGCGGAGAGAAACACAGTTTATTCTTGACGGTGGCCAATCAACTGTTCACTTCTCTGCACGTGTAAGGCAGCGAGTATTGGTGACAAGCGGTGGCAGCGGTCACAACGCAGAGCAAGAGGAGGAATTTGGGACTTGTACGTCGTTGTTGCGGACGCCAGCCCACCAATGTTGAATCAGTATGCGTGGCTGTGCGAGATCGGCGGGGCCACTGCCATCCGGTCTTTTCGTGGATGCCCATCTCTCCAGAGTTTCTTCAATTGGTCTGGACATTGTGAGGTGTGCCAGAGTCCTGTGGCGAAGACCGCGCTTCAACCCCGCCATTCAAGCGCATGCGTCTTTATGCTTGGACCAACGACGTACCACATCTTCTGTCGAGCCCAAGAGCGAATTCTTGGAGTGCTGGGTCTCGCCGCATTTGGACTCAGATGGACAAACAAACGCTCGAGCGAGCATGCGCGGGACAGGCTTGTTGGGGGCAGTCAGCAATGCGACCCCTCTTTGTTCGCCTTGGTCGCTAATTAGATGGAGAATCCGTTGCAGTCCAGGTGCCGACCACGCTTGAACACAACGCCTATCATTGAGGGGTACGAATGAATAATCAACTCTGCCAGCGCCTTGCGCGACGACCGCAAGTATGGGAAACGCAAGAAGTTTAGCCCAGGCAAATCAGCAACGCCGGAATAGCCGTGCGTGCGTGGGCGGGGCGCGAAGAGGCGATGGGCAGGTTGCTGCGCGGCTTGCCATCTACGCATGCGGTTGTGCTGGCAACGGGCAGATGTGTTGGTATTGTTGTTGGTTCGTTGTGTGACGAATCTGCAGTTTGGGGGTGGTCTTTCGCTGGACGATTCAAGACTGTATTGGAGGATGGGGCACAGAGCGCGTATTTGCAGCAACAGAACAAGCCAACAGTATGCTGTTGGACCCGTCTGCGGCCACTGCGCTGGGCCATACGCGGCGCCTGCGCTAATGAAGCCACAGCGCGCGCGGTGCCCGCGATAGCGCCGCCATGGCGGGGCGACGCCTGCGTCCTATTATACGACGTGCTTGCGGTGCTTGCGCCGACTCGCGCCCCCCGTTCTCCGGGCCGTGGCGCGAACGAAACGGGGTGCTTGGACCGCGCGTCCTCGGCGCGACGTCGCTGGTCTTACGCGGAGCAGTCACCAGCTGCCTGGGCGCGGCAAGCATCGAAGCCCGCGTTCGAGAGGTCGACCGTGCGACGAGTCACCGGCGCGGCGCGCCCGCCTCACCTGCCAGGCCGCAGAGCCCAGACAGGGCGTTTCTCTTTGGCTGACGTTCAGTATCGGAATATAAAGACTGAACCAATTTGGCCACGAGCGGCATCGCCGTGGACAAGAAGATGGCGACGGAGATGGCGACGAAGCAACTCTCGCTGCCCCGATCGCGCTCATGTACCTAGCCCCCCTTGGCGCGGATCGGCCCCCAGTTCGGCATCCGTGCCTCGTTTTGTTTTGAAGATGATCTTGGACAATGCCTGTATTTTCGTTTGAGCTTGGATACTCCTCTCGGGTTTTTTTTGGGCCGGGTCGGCCAGGATTCTCTGCCGCCCTCATCGGCAATCGAGCGGCCCTTTCCCGTCCTCCTCCCGCCCTGGTCCCCTTCGTCGCTCCGCTCATTTCTTTTCTGTTTTCCGTTACGTGCGGGCTCACTGGTTGAGCGCAGTCTCCTCTTGCGGTTAGTTCGCGCCGCGTTGACGCACTGGCTTTGCCGGCGCAAGTGTCCAAGGTTGAAAGCCACAGGGAGCGTGAACCAGGCCAGATTTTACCAATTCTTGCCTGCCTATCTTCGCAGACCTGCATATTCACAACCACGTCGGCCCGTATTGCTTGAATCATTGTTGTCCTTCCCGTCAAATTCCGCTCCCCCCGCCCGACCAGGGCTTTTGGCGCGCGCCATCAGGTCAGGTTGGAGAGCATCATGTTTGTTGCCTTCATCTTGCGCTCCCTTGCAAGCCGACAAAGAAGGAAAGGCGTAAACATATATTGTTTGAGTTCCGCACAGATTCAGTTGATCCGCTAAGGGCCGCCTCCGGCGGCACCGCCATTGGCGCGCTCCGCGCGGATAAAAACAAATGTTCGGAGATCTCACAGTTTATGTGGACTTGCGCCCCGCCCCCGCCCATGGGATCGCACAGCATTTTTGATTGGATAGGCGGCGCAGCCTGGGAATTCATGCATGGAAACTTCTCTTTCTGTTCCACGAAAATATGGCGTTTCTGTTCACTTGATGGAAACATCCTCTTTCGCCATGTACCAGGTGGCACTCGTTTCATGCCAGTTTAGGAGAGCCGTTTCTTCGCGTCACTGCACATTGTTTGTTTGTTTCAGCGAAGCGTATTTTAGAAAAGGCTTCAAGGCGGCGGACAATAATTCTTGGTGGGAGGACGAGCGTGTTGCAGGGGGTTGTTGCCGTGCATCAGAGTAAGTGCGTCGACCGGGGTCCGCGGGCACCGGTTTCCCAGACGGTGGTATGTATACGATTGGCGTCGCAATGACAGTTTGCGATGTGGCGACGTTGGCCCACTTATTGCACGCTGCCCCCCACAGTGGGGATAATTAGCGTGCAGCGAGGATGCCCTTAGCGTTTAACGTGGGCCTTTGCAGGGGGATAGCGTGAAGGGGCCCTTGTGGGGGATTTTCGGAGATCGGCGATCGCGTGGTGGGGGCCGCATGGGGTAAGAATGCTCGACTGTCTGCGTCCGTGTGCCCACTCCTGAGCCCTGTTGGGCCGTTCTGGAGCTATCATGGGCGCCTTTTTGAGCATTGGTGGATGTGCGAAGTTCTGGCCTCGCAATAAGGGCCAAAGCTCTTCCCTGGCTGTGGCCAGCCAGCCCCGCGCCTCCTCCTCCCCCTTGCCGCTCCCGCTCCCATCGCGGGGAAAAGCAGCTCGCGGGGGTAGCCGCGGGGGCGGGCAGCCGGTGAGCCGCGGAGTTCCTCCCACTCCATTCTCCCAGCCGCCGCCGCTCTTGTCGTAGTGGTCATCGTCCTCGTCGCTGTCGCCCGTCGTCTTTGAACAAAGAAACATGCATAAAGATAATGTTCGGCGCTCTGCGCTGATTTGTTGAATCAGCGCTGGGCCCTCCTGGCGGCGCCTCCAGCGCCGCCCATGCCGCGCTTCGCGCGCCAGGGAGGGGGACTTGGCGCGGATCCCAGACATCCGCGTAAACCTCAAACATTTATGTTCATGCAGTTTGTTATTTAATCGCTTCGCTCATTCCGCCGGCCCGTATTGTGCCATCGCAGGCGTTTGTTTGCGCGTTCGTGGCCTCTTGGAGCCTCGGTGGGGCCGTTTGGGGCCTCTTGGCGCCTCTTTTTAGGCCTCTTGGAGAATTCGGGAGGCCTCCAGGGGGCCTCCTGAGCTCTCGTGACGGTCTCTTGGGGGCTTTCGGCGGGCTCTTGGCGGTATTTGTTGGTCCTCTTGGGGCCTGGGGCCTGACGTTGTTGGTCCTCTTGGGGCCTCACGGGAGCTTATTGGGGCGTCTTGGGGGTGTCTTGGAGAGTCTCTTGGGGCCTCTTTCGGGGTCCTGGGCGCCTTCTGGGGCGGAGGGCTCGATTTTTCAGTTCTCGGTTCCCTTCTTGAGCCCCTCTTGGGCCCGTCTTGGGGCCTCTTGGTCCGCCTTGGGCAGCACTTGGGCCGTCTGGGGGGCGCTCTTGGGCCGCTCCGGGGCCGTCTTGGGAGCCTCGTGGGCCGTCTTGGAGCAGTCTTGAAGGCCTCTTGGGCCCTCTTGGAGCGTCCGGAAGCGAAAAGGCCAGAACGCAAAAAAACATAGAAAAAACAAATGAAAATCAACGATTTTGGCAACTTGGGGCCCTCTTCGGAGGCCTCTTGGAAGGCCCTTGGAGCGTCTTGGAGGCCTCTTGGGCTGTCTTGGGGCCATCTGGGGCGTCTTCGGGCGATCTTTGGCCGTCTCGGGCCTCTCTTGGACCGTCTAGAAAGCTTCTCGGGGCCCTCTTGGACCGATCTGGAGCCCTCTTGGACTCCGAAACAGAACTCCGGCATCTCTGACCCGACCTTGCCGGGGACTTGCCGGGACCTTGCCGGGGTACTTTTCGTCCGGGGACCCCCAGGGGCCGCCCCGCGCGCGCGAACTAGAAATACTGTTAACCAGGTACCGGAGATCTTAGCCCGCCCTGGCCCGTTGGGCCGGCGAATTCCTCCATTTGCACTCTCCAGCCTCCCAGCCATCGTCGTTCTTGTCGTGATTGTCATCGTCGCCGTCGCTCGCCGTCCGCCGCCGCCTCGTCGTCTGTGCCACAGTCGCGGGCGCCGCCGTCTTTGGCCGCCGTCGTCAGGAGCACGTTCGGGGTGGCGCTGGTGGCCACGCCCACACGGAAGGGCCCTGGCGCGGAGGCGATCGCACGGGGTTGCAGGGCGGGCGGGCGACCAGGGGAGAGCTTGAGGAAGAGCGGGAGAATGCGGAAGAGGAGGAGGAGGCTTGAGGCATGGGAGGGGAGGGGGATTCAGGGATGGGAGAGGAATATGAGAATCTGAGGAGTGGATGGGGATGAGGAATGAAAGAAGGGGGGAAGAGGGAGGAGGGGAAGGGGGAGGGCGGGAGAAGGAGGGGGGACAGGAGGAGGAGGAGGAGGACTTCGGGAAGGGTGCTGGTGGAGAGGCGAGGGATGAGGAGGATTGGATGGAGGGAGTGAGAGGGAAGGCGGCGGGAAGAGGAGGGAGACGAGTGGGAAGGGGGAGGACGAGGGGGCGGAGGATGAGAGTTGAGGAGGATAAGAACAATAGGAGGAGACAGAAGTTGACAGCGGGGGAGAGCGAAGAGGGCGAGAAGGGAAAGGCAGTACATGTTGAAGCGGGTATTGGTAGGAGGGCGAGCATGCAGCTGGTCCGTGAAAAGATGAGATGATACGGAGGGGCTCGATGCGAATGCCAACGCTACATGTTCGAAGCCTGGCTCCTCGCTCGCGACTGCATTTTTGGCAGCGTGAAATGTTCGTCATCCTGTTGTCATGCCCTGGCGAGTATCATCGCGTAGATCTTTGGGCGGGACCGCGACAAGACGCGAGCCTTGCGGATGTCACATCGTCATCCTGCAGTCGTGGCGTCGAAATAAAGAGACTTGTCAGGAATAGAATGGGTTCGGCTTTCCGTCTTGTTTCATCAAGTTTCAGCAGGTCCTGGAGCTCACACAATGTTTTTTTTGCAAAGGGGCAGTCGTGAGGCTCAGATTGTGTTGTCGGCCCCTGGTTTGCAACAGCAGCAACAATAACAATACTTTTGATAATGCTCGCTCTTGTCTGCTCGTGTGCCTTTCATCATGTATGGGTTTGCTGAACTCTCGGTATCCGTCGTCTTCGTCTTCGGTCGTGCCCCTTTGCGGGTATGTCTTCCTTACCTGCCACGTGTACTGGAAACAGCGCCTAAACCAAGGGAAAGGAGAGGAAGCATTTTCTGTCTTGAGATATGTGTTCGGGGACAGCTCCCAGGAGCCCCAGGAGGTCTTTTTATTGTATTGGGTTATATGTTCGGGCAGCAATTTCGTTCCCCAGCCCACAGGAGGCCCCGGGAGACGCTTACCTGTGTTGGGATACTTCTGTATTCCGGGAGCGCTGTTAGGCGCCCCCGCCCCCAGGAGGCCCCAAGAGGCCTCAGGAGGCACTTCTCTGTATCGGGATGTGTGTTCGGGGAGTGGTTTTCTGCCCCCCGTAGGTTTCGCCCCATATGCTTCGCCCGGAATGTAGGTTGGTTACCATTTTTGGTTCCTTGTAGCAAGACGTTGAATGGGTGATCTGGCCTGCAGATTGCGTTCACGGTCGCCGAAGCGCATGACGGGCGGAGAGTGGTATGCCTAAAGCGACGTTGATCTCATTATCAGTATGTCTCACGAGAAGGAAGCAGACGACAATCGAGCCTCGTCTTGCTCCAGACCTTCAGAGAAGAACACCAAGCAGCATAAACATGTCAAGTCGGAGGTCCTCGCGAACGAATTTCTCGGGTCTGCGTTGGGCCCCATTGGCGACGCCAGAACAGGGAGGGCCAGTACCGACCTTATACATCCAAGCCGACTTCCGTCAAACATTTGTGCACGCAATGTCGTATTATAATTCGCGTGTGTCTCGCGACAATGACAAAGGCGAGACGCGAGCTTCCTTCGTTGGTCTCGTAGCCTGCAGTCGTCTTGCATCGTCGCGGCCCCCCCGCCGCCATCGTTGCTCGAGTTTGAGCTGCCCAGCAGGCGAGTCAGCCGGCATTGCGCCGCGGGACGCAGTTTCCCCCTCCCCCCTGTCTCTGTTCTCCACCGTCTGGATATGGATGGCCACCGGGCGGTGCCCGAAGACGAGGAGGAGGCCGCGTCGGTGACATTGTCACTGGAGGACAGGTTGACTGGCCGCCATCCGGCTGGAAGCCAGAGATGACATCCACCATTCTTTTTGGCCTCATCCATGAGGAGGAGCAGGAGGAGGAGGAGGAGGAGGAGGAGGATGGAGAGCAGTTGTGTCTCGTTCCAGTCCTGGCCACTCTGCTCATCGATGCGGCTGGATCTGCCTCGAAATCCTAGTCAGAACGCGCTCTTGGAGAGGTCCAGGACCCCCCCCTTCTCTTTGATTCCTCTCGGAAGGAGGAAGGGGAAGGAGGGAGGTGTATCGTGTTTCTGTTTGGGGATTTCCGGATGCCTTGTGGCGCTCTTGGGCGGGATCCGTTCGCGGGTATCAGTGAGGGTTCATTTGCGCCCCCTGTTACACCCTCTTCACATGTCTTCCTGTACGTCCGCCGCTCTCCTCTTCCTTGCCTTCTCCATGAAGAGAGGGCAGCAAGAGGGGAAAGTGAAGGTTGGAAGGATGTCTGGAGTTTCAAGTTGGCGTTCCGGGTGTTGTGCGGAGATCATGGGGGTTCTCCCCCTGTCCATTTGTCATCTCATCTCGTTCGCTCTCCTCGTAATCGTCGTCCGTTCGCCCTCGTAATCGTCGTCGATGTCATCGTCCACTTTCCCCTTATCTTCTTTCCCTTCACCAGGAAAGGGGAGGGGAGGATAGGAGAGGATAGGGGACTGAGGAGAAGGGGAAACAGTTATTCGCTGAATCAGTGTGTCCCCGTGGCCTTTCATTGGGAGACTTCTGACGCACAGGGCGTGCCTTCCTCCGCATCTTGCTCCTCGTCCTCGACGTCGTTCTCATCCTCCTCATCGTCGTCATGCCTCCTCCGCTCACCATGATACCATGATGCTGCGCCTTCTGCTCTGGCTGGTCCGCCTTCCTCTCCCTCGCTTCGCTTATCTGCTCGCATGCACTGCCGCCGTGCCTAGCCGCCTGCCCTCTGCGTGAACACCATACCGGCGTTCCCCTCAGGCAGGACGTGACCCATGCATCTTACTACGAAGAGCGTTGCCAGTGGTATGCTTTGCGCTACATTGCGTTTCATTGGTCGTCACCCCGTTCGCCCCGCAGACCACAACCGTGTTGAGGTACCCAAGTGGTTTACGCCAGCCCGCCGACCCCGAGAAGGGAAACGAAGTCCACGGGCGGGGCCCGTCCTGACGTCATCGTGGGCGTGCGTGGATCCGAAGGCACGTGGTGGAGCCCAGCGGTCGCAAGCTGCGAAGACATCTCGGGCTGACTCACGTGGGCTCACAAGGAGTGCAAGAGCCGAGGATCTGGAGACCCTGGCGAGGCGTGTCAGAGCGAGGCCGAGGGACCACGACGGAGCTTATGATAAAGCGCAACAAAGTGTTGAGGGTCAGAAGTTGTAGCAAGGGGAGGGAACGATGAGGAGGAGGAGAAGGAGGAGGAGGAGAAGTTGGAGGTGGAGGAAGTGGATGACAAGTTGGGAGGTGGAGCAAGGGAGAAGACAGGAGGAAGAGGAGGAGGAGGAGGAGGCGGAGTACCACTGTCGCATGAGACCCTGGTGTCGGCTTGTGAAGGTTTATGGGGGCTCCTGGGGGCCTCACTTTGGCCTTTGGGGGCCTCTGGGTGCCTCGAGGACAAGCTGGGAGGTGAAGGGCGAGGGGGAGGACAGGTGGAAAAGGAGGAAGAGGCGGAGAGCACCGCTGTCGCATGAGACCCTGTCGTCGGCTTGTAAAGGTTTTGTGGGTTTCTGGGGGCCTCACTTGGGCCTTCCGGGAGCCCCTGGGGGCCGCAATTGGGCCTCGTAGGGGCTCACTTGAGCGCTTGCTGGCAGTGTCTGGGGTCGCCGTGGGCCGGAGAGCTCGACATACCACTGGGGGTTGGCCTGCTCGCGCGCCGCTTGGGGCTCTGTTGGCTCTGTTGGGGCCACCTGGGGCCGTCGCGGTTGACTCTTGGGCCGTCTGAGGGTTCTCTCAGGCCGTTCTGGGGCTTTTGGGGGGGTTTCTTTGGCTGCTTTGGGAGCATCTGGAGGGCTTGTGGAGCAGTCAGTCATGGACGCTGTGAAGACCACACGGCGAGCACTCTGAAAAGGCATATCTTCCCAAAGGATTGCGACGATTTATGTTTCATGGGGCCTTCGTAGGGGTCCTCTTAGAGCCCTGTTGGGGCGTCTTCGAGGCCGCGTGGGAGGTCTGCAAGCCATCTTGGGTAGTTATCGAAGACGTCTACGGCGAATCACCGCTGCCGCCTGCCTTTGGAATCGCCCATGTGGCCGAGCGTTGTGGCAAGATCTCTGCCAAGCTATCGGGCCAAGCATTTCCCCAGCCGTTGTAGAAACCCTTCGGGGAACACTTGGGGGAGGATGGCGGGGAAGATCAGGAGGAGGAGGTGGAGGGGGGATCTTGGGAGCCTCTGGGGGCACTCTTGGGGCCTCATGGCAGCTTCCTGGGCGCCTCTTAGAGGCAACTTGGGGGCCTCCTTGGTCCTTTTGGAGACCTTTGGGAGCTTCTCGGGATCCTCTTTTGCCGTCTTAGGGTATTCCTGTCCCGTCGGAAGCCGTCTTGGAGGCCTCTCTGGCCGACGGCCCTCTTGGGGTTCTCAAGGGCCGTGTTGGAGACCATCCAGGGCGTCTTCGAGGCCTCCTGGGCCGTCTTGGTGCCCTCTTGGGGCCGTCTTGGGGGCCTCCTGGGCCGTTCTGGGGCTATATGACCTCTTGGGCGATCTTGGGGCGATCCTATGGGGCTCTTGGGCCGTCTCGGGCCGTCGGAATGACGAAACGAAGCAAGTGCCAAAATATTTCGAAAACCTGCGCACAGTTAATGATTTTTGCATCTTCGGGCCTTCCTGGAAGCCCTCTTGGGCCGTCTTGGGCCGTCTTGGGCCACCTCGGAGCCATCTTGGGTCGTCTTGATGGCCTCCTGGCCCGTCGCCGTCGGAAGCCATCTTGAGGGCCTCTCTGGGCCGACTTGGGGCCCTCTTGGGATGCTCCAGGGCCGTTGGAGGCCATCTATGGCGTCTTGGGGGCCCCTTGGGCCGTCTTGGGGCCCTCTTGAA